TTTGTGCGTGTATCTCTAATAACAAGCCTGAACCTGTCAAGTCTTTTTCTTTTCCTGTAATGCTTTTCAGGCTTTGGTAATTGAAACCTAGACTTGATCTTTTGCTGAACCGCTGTTGCTGCTTTTGAGGCGCATTTTTTCGTCTAAGTAAATCTAATATCATTCTCCTCCTCCTCCCTCCTCCCTGTTTTTACAGTGGAAGGAGCTGCACTCTCTGAAAATATACAGGAGAGGATGCCTTTAGGAGAGATGGACAAAACACGGAAAAAGAAAGAGGAAATTAAAGTGGCGTACGAGTTCAAAGAAGTCCTGGGAACGTGAGTACAATATTTTCTTGCCTTTGGGAACTGATATTCGTTGGCGGAGATCAGGGCACCAAACCGGGATCTGAATTGATTCCCAAAATGGCATTCCTAAAAAAAATCCATATTCTGTAGCCCTGAGAGCTTGGTATTTCTTTTGGCGGTGAACGACTTAAATCGCAAGGAGGTATCCGCGAAAGTAGCAGCATGTGGTAACAGTAAGCCTTCGCCAATCTGCAGCTGTCTACTTCTTCAAAATGCTAAGTACTTACATGAGGACTATGCTTTGCTGTCTTTTGAGTGAGAAATTTGCAATACAGGTGGAGTGTTGTCGATGCAGCGCTAGTTCAGGAGATTTTCACAGCCGTCTGCTGTGCATTAGTGATTTCCAAAACTTCGGGGTGTATCGCCACAAAATGAGAAAATCGGAGCTTTCATTGTTTATGATCTTTGACTGCATAACCCATCTTTTGAACGGCAATTCGTTGACCTGTTGCTTCCTCCTGCATTGGCCTTTTCTGATCCTTCCCAGCCTCTTATCATGATGGCTCAGCCTAGGACCTGTTTCCATAATCTCTTCACTGTGTATGTAATCCTAGGTAGTTAGCATTAAACTTTGCTCTATATGACATTCCAACAGAACTTGATATCATCCTCCACTTAGACTGTGCCTGCTTCATAGGTGATAATCGGCGTAGGAAATTTTAAACACGATAGCGCCGAAGAAAGTCCAGCGCTACTGTGATTGAGGCTGGATGAACAGGCAAAGAGAATTTTGTTTTTGGTGTGTGCCTCAGTACGCTTAGCCCACTGAACGGTTGCAGCTTTGCAAAATATATCAGATTGTTACAGCTTTAATTATATTTTGAAGCATTTGTACCTGGATATTGGCTCTGGACACCTCATTCCAGTGCTGGGTTTGGATGTCTTTGGCCTACACTTTTTGTTGCCTTCCAGGTCAATGTTAATCTTTCCAGCAGCTCTATGTTTGAATGCCTTCACAGCCCTTAAGCAACCCTTATCAGAGTCACAATAACCTATGGGAATGTGACACACACTCCCTCCTCATTCCTCTCTACTTGTCTGCAGCCTTCAAAACAGTTGATCTAAAGAACTTCCTCCAACACCTCTGCATTGTCCAGGTAGGTGGGATTATCCTCATAGGTGGAAAACATCAACAATGGCTTCTATTCCCACCGCTACTTGCTCATCTCTTTCAAACCCTCTGGAATTAATTTTTGGCCCTTTCTTATTTTGCATCCACTTACTGCTAATGGACAAATGCAATGTTAGCTTCCACGTGCAAGCTGCTGACACCTAGCTTTACTGCTCCCCCCCCACCCCGTTATCCAACTTGCCTTTCCAGTCCCTTTGATTTGCTAATTGCCTTGTCTGATTTCCACCATTGGATGAGCAAAGGGTTTCTCTAATTAAATATCATGAGAAACGAAGCCATTTTTTGTGGACCCCACCACAAACTCCGATCACTGTCTTCATCCCTCTTCCTGGCTGTTGTGGCTGAACAAGATCTTTCATAGCTTTGGTATCCTATTTGATTCTGAGGTGAGCTTTCTGCTTCAATATTTCAGCGTCAAGTCATGAAAATTGTCCACCCACATTCCTACCTTGACTTATCAGCTAAAACCCTCGTTGATGTTCTATTTACATCTAGACTTGTCTAGTCCAATACTGTCCTGCGGTTGAGCTCCCACTTTTATAAGCCTGAGTTCATCCAAAACTCTGCTGTTGCCGTACTTGTACCGAGTCCTGTTCTCTCACCATTCCTCTCTGCTTGCTGACCGACATTGGTTCTCAGTCCAGTAAATGCCTCAGTTTCCATCATTCTTGTTTTCAAATCCCTGCCACACTGTGTGTGGGCTCTACCTTTTTCCAGCTCTGGCCTATTTTGCAGAACTGGTGTTCAGCATTGAACCACTGACGGCTGTGTCTTTCATAATCTGAATTTCCCTCCCTAACCTTTGTGTTCCTTTCCTTCTTTCGGACACTCTTTAACGCCTGCCTCATTGATCAAATCTTTGGCCACCTGGCCTAATATCTCTACATGTGAAGTACTGTATAAATGAAAATTGCTGTTGTTGTATTGCTTCTCAAAGGATGTACGGAAATGATGGTTGAATGCCATAAATATTAAAATCCAGAAGGTTCAAAAGCACACAACTACAGCAAGAATATGTTTTATACTTCAAGATTAGTGACACGGTTATGTCAATTTGAGTAATTATTGTTGAGTGTAACTTGCTTTTGTGTGGGCATTGTCAAATCAAATTGAAACCGGTTTGGGAATTATTCTGATTTGTTGAAACAAGTCAACCTATTAATTAATTAATTTTGTTTATTTGCTATGCCTTGAAAGGATTGTTTTTCCTGTACCCAGGTTTTGTTGTACTTGGCTGCATCTAATTATTTTGCTTTTTGCCTGTCATGTGGCATCCACCTTAGCAATTTTTAAACATTGTAAGAAATTTACAAAGTGAAATCACTCCCACGCTCTCGGTAGGCTGTTTTCTGGAATGAGTTTCCTGGTCGAAAAGGTTTTCTGATCCACCACAACAAGTATATTCTGAGTAACCACAATTCCATTTTTATTCCAAGAATCAGTCAGACATCAGAAGAACTGATTTTCCAATGCACAATATTCTTTGTCTATTTACATTAAACTAAAAATGCTGGACCAGTAAAAAGACAAAATAAACAGAGAGAAAAATGCAGCTTGTTTAGAAAAATACTCTTTTCAAATAAAGTTTCATGATTTATTTTGAACTCTTTTGCATCGTTGAAGGTACTTTGATAGGACTTATTCAGTATTCATTGAAGCAACATGACTGAATCTGGAAATACATTTCATGTGGTGGACTGACTGTGCTGGATAATTTAGAACTGTTATTAACATTAACATTTGGTACAGTTTTGAGATCAAGAAGTGTTATTTTCTTCAGAATGAAGCTTTAGGTTAAAAATGAATGAGTTAAAAATATCTTCTCATGAATAAGTGGGGCTTCTTTTGCCCAGTAGAGGAAGATAGTTTTTCTATTGCTCTATGATCTTCTGTACTCTTAATGTGGAGTTTGCAAATGTTTAATTTTTTAAAAATACAAGCTGTGTGATATATAAACAGCATCCCATCCAGGACATGTTTGAAATAACCTTGTTAGCAGTTTTTAGTTGAAACATTACTTTTTTTTAGATTTTGGGTTAAACTAAAAATCCTAGTATGCACGAAAAAAAGCTAGATTTAAATATCATTGAGAAACACGACATAATTTGAATTTATTTTCAAACTGGCTTCTCTTGTTGCATCTAACAGTTTATGTTAATAATTTATAAATGGACAGCAAAGCTGAAATTAAAGTGGAGCAATGCATTAAACCCACATGTCATCATGATTAAAGGTTATATGTTATCTTACATATTGACTTATATGCTTTTTTTTGTATACAGTTGCAGACATTTCTTGGGAAACTTTCCTTGCCAGCTACAAATGAGCAAAAAAAAAAGAATGTTTTCAGTAACTTAATTCTCACTGGGAATGTTTATTTGGATTGATTGTTAAATGTGAAGAACTGCTAAATCTATTAATAGATTTTCCTTGCCTGTATCCAGTGCCAAATGGTTCTGAAATTCCTTTTATTTCGATAATATCTTTTTTTAAAAACAAAAGAGAACTTTTCACTTAATTGGTCTCAACTGTATTGTTGATTCTGTAACTTAAAAAGGACAATCCCTCCCTCCCTCCCTCCCTCCCTCATTCTCTCCCTATCAGGCTCGTTTTATCTCAAAATGGACCATGCGGCAAAATCTCATTTTTTTTTAGAACCAGTCTGCAGTAGAGCAGTATTGTTCGGAAGAGAATCAAGTATTTATTCAGTGAGGGGTATTTAATAATTTTTAAGGATTATTTTCTTTTCCCCAACATGGGTCTTGCTGAGCTTACACACCCATTTGTTGCTTAAGAATGCTGTGCCTCCAGGCTTTTGGCATCGCTGCTGTTTGCTTAGCAGCCAGAAGGGATTTGGGAACAGAACACAATATGTCTCTCTCTCTCTCTCTCCTCTCTGTCTATTCACTCTAACCAGGTAACCAGGTTCTTCTACCTTGTCCCTCACCAAAGGTGGCTAAGAGCAGGATCCCACTGGAACGGGTGATTAAATCTTTCCTGTTCTCTTCCGTGGAATTCAGCAATGGTACACCACCCAGGCAGCTTTAAGTAATCATGCATATGCATTTGGAATAATAAACTTGCTTGCACTTTGATCAATATTTTAGTGATAAATCTCTGTCATGGTCATTGCTCAGGCTTCTGAACTTTTATCTAAATTCCTCTGAATATGCAAGAATCATAAACCGAGTACTAACACAATTTGCTTAAAATACAGTCACATAAATGGTAATATTAAAACTCGAAATGATTCTTACAACTTCATGCAATCTGCTTTTCTCCTGATCTGACCAGAAAATCATTGTCAACATATGTTTCTCTTAATACAAAAATCTTGATTACAACTTGTTCGAAACTTACATAGTCTTGACGCTTATGTTGCTTTCATTACAAAATAGTTTGTTCCAACAGATAGTTCCCTGCTTTCAATGGCAATGTATATTTATTTCTTTTATATAAATTTGATGGAGCTTTGTGTACTGGGAGTCTAATTGATCTACAACTTGCTTCTGTGTTTCATAAACAACGCTCAGGGGCATGATAAAAACCAAAAGAACTGCAGATGCTGTAAATCAGGAACAAAAACAGAAGTTGCTGGAAAAGCTCAGCAGGTCTAGCAGCATCTGTGAAGAAAAAAAATCAGAGTTAATGTTTTGGGTCTGGTGACCCTTCCTCAGAACTGAGGAAGTTCCCTCCAAGCCTTTCCTGTTTTGAACTTTTTATTTCTCTATTTTTGAAGTTATTCGTAATGCTGGATTTTATATATCGTTATTTTTCTAATGTTTTTTCCTGAACTGAACAATCTGTACCTTGTACCTAAGATGTTGCTGTAAGTGGC